CCCCCGAGGATTAGACTCTCTGTTTACACCCCACTAATCTCATCCCTCTGTCCTCCCTGAGAAGAGACTGCTAGATGTGGGGGTAGAGGCATGGATGCAGAGAGAGAAGATGGAAGAGAGCGGGGAAAAGCAAAAAGAGCTCTCATCTCTCCACGGCCACCATCTCTGGGCTTCTTCTCTCAGCGGGTGAACAGATGAAATGAAATCAAATGCGAAATGAAGAGAGAAGGGAGAGACTGCGAAAGATCGAGCAGAGGAGTGGTGTACAGTATCGAGGGATGAGAGGTAGAGGGAGGAGGAGGAGACTGCACCTCCTGCCAAGTCCCCCCTCACTTTAAACTCTCCTGCATGTCAGCCATTACTGTAAGTGCAGGATATAACGGCGGAGCAGTTGGAGAGAGTCACACAAATCTTCAAATCAAACATTGCTACATTACAAGGCGATGATAATGCTCCATCGCTCTGCTTGTGCTGCCTAAGCACTTTTCTGCTGCCAAATATTCATGGCTGTGCAGTAATTGTGAAGCCGGGAAAATGGAAGTATTAGCAGCATTCTTTATGAGTGACCTAGATCCCTCTCAGGGGGGCTGTGGCCTCACTGTGACCCCCACTCGGCTGGTATTTTCATATATAGGAAGGAGAAAGGACAAGCAGAGCTGTTCACACAGGAATGACGTTTTTCCAAAACATTTATTTTCCTGTTAAAACACAGCACCGTTTCTAGAAATGTTTTCATCCACACGAAAACAAAGAAGACAAACAAAGCACTGCAGTAACTCTGCCAGGCCTGTAGGTGGCACCGTAACGCTGTCATGCAAATACACAACAGGAAACAAGGCGCGGGGCACAAGCTCCAAACTGTAAAATGATGAGAACGGTAAATACAAGAGGAAAAGCCTTTTAGTAGTTTGATGAAGAGGAACGTGTCCTCTCTATCACCTTAAACTGCCGTCGACTGGAAGGACTGTTCACCAAGAGATGGCTGGGTGAATAATTTATACACAAGTGTGGATATTTTAAATCTATTCCAGTTTCTCACATTGTTTTAATGAATACTTGATGTATATTGTAGTTTTTCTGCATTTACAGTTTAGTAAAGTGATAAAAGCCTGTTGGTGCCTGATTATTTGGTATCTTTTACTCTGCTCTATTTAGGCCTGTTGCTGTTCTGTTGAAGCAGGATTCTATGATTGTTCTGTGGTTCAGAAAGTATTTCCCTGCAACACAAACACAAGCACCTAATCTGCGACATCCGTCATGCTTAGGTGGGAGGTGCCACTATGACATCACTGTTTTCAAAAGGTTACGTTTAGGCTGTCCACATGAAAACAAAATGATAAAATGTAATGATATTTTTCTCTCTGCAAGCCAAAAAAACCCAACAACAAAAACATTTAGGGGCTCCTAAAACAGTTTATATCGGAACACAAGGCTAATGTATATATAAAAAAAAATGTTTGCATATTCACAAAACGTCATCGTCATATAGACAGGGCCTGAAGGTTTAACACATCCACCTTTATGTACCGGTACTCCACCATTTTATGTAAAACTTGTGACAAAAGTCCCAAATTAAGTCTTTTTATGCTTTTTCCTGTTACAACAGCACCATTTCTAGAAATGTTTTCATGCACATGAAAACAAAGAAAAAGACCAAAACACTGCAGTAACTCTGCCAGGCCTGTGAGTGGTGCTATAATGCTTTTTTCCTAAAATAACTGTTTTGGGAAACTAGCATAAAAAGACTTGACTTGAAACTTTAGTCACAAGTTTAAAATAAAATGTCACATAAAGGTGGATAATGTGTTGAACCGTCACCGACTCTTGGGGCTCTTTGCACAAAAAAAAAAAAAAAAGAAGCATAATTTAGAGTGTCGCTTACAAGCCAGTTCCAGAGGCTTAATTTCTACTTATTGTGACAACAGTGTAAACACTAATTTTTATGATCAAGTAAAAAACAGGACAGTCGTGTCCTGACGACGGGCACATTTTACTGTGAAGTGTCACACTTTGAGGCCAAAGAGGGTTAAGGTGGACAGCTGTCAGAGAGCCTGAAGCATTCATGGTGACAGCACGTCAAATCGTCTTCCAGTAAATAAAATCAAACAGCTCAGGCTGTTTCAGAGGAAGCCCCAGATGCATCCTCAGTCCTGCATCCAACTCTGTGCTTCACCTAAACATCAACTTCATGAATGTGTCGACCCTCACATTTGATCAGATATCATGTTTATTCAGCTCAGGAACTTACGTAATTGGTACTTTTTCCTAAAAGATGAAAGTCGATGCAGGACTGAGATCTCTCAAGTTTGTTCCCAAGATTATACAAAATGTAAATAAATAAATAAATTCATGATACTTTGAGAAAGGAAGGAAATGTGGGAAGGTGGAAGGGTACACTAATTGAGGCGAAGTGGAAAACTTCCAAATGCAACTTGTGTTGACATAATAGAGCAACAATATGGTATGTAGTAAAGACAATTAAAATGCATATTACAATAATACAGATGGGACCACATGTGCATGTTAAATTATGCGGAAAATAATTTTCTAAAGTCCCTCGAAACAATCTGTTGGCACACCTTGTTTCAAATTCTTTACAAACGCATTATATTGTGATTTATGTGTTGCTTAATTAAATATACTTTAAAGGCTGATTTTAACCTGTAATTGCAATGTTGAATGCAGCAGAGTGGAACACGGTGTTGACAATTTGTAAAACACGTTTTTCTGTAAGGTGCAGATGTTTGGATGCAAATAAAATGACATCATTTCAAAGGTCGGAGCCTTTTGGGGACTATTTTCAAGCTACTGGTGCATTCAGTGAAGGACTGATATTCAGGCTGTTCTGTGCACCAGTCAGATGTCGTAAACAAACCAGAACAGAAACTGGTTTAATATTTGGTAATGGGGAGATTCTTTCTTGCATCTTGCTGTCCACAAGAAAAAAATAAAGATCACTTCGATCACAAACATAAAAATTGGAAAACTTCAAGTATCTATCTAAATCTTCCTGCCCTACAAATTCTGTAATTTCATGCTGAAATATCTGGTTTTAAGGATGGAAACTGTGAATAATTCATACATTTTCTTTTTTTTACCCTGAAATCAGAGAAACTTTGTTAACTTTCATTAAGGATGCAAACACAAAGAAGCACAATCAATCAATGACATTGGTAAATGAAAAAGAACAGTATAAAAATGATAAGAATATATTTTACTTGCTGACAGCGTGTTGAGAACAGTGTTTGCAGATGATGAAGGGCACTGACCGGTGCGGTCGTGGTGGCGGTGATGGTGGGCGTGCTGTTGTCAGTGCCAGCCGGCTCGCTGTGTGTCTGTGTGGGCGTGTACAGGGTCATGGCGTGCTCCGGAACCCGGCTCTGCCCGGTGTAGTCCTGTGTCTGAAGCGGGTGCGGCGCCGCAAATTCTGCGGGGATACCATTTTGTGGGGGAGGCGGGTACTGGGCTGGGGTGTACGGCTGGGCCATCGCTTCTGGGGGGTTGGTGGCCTCTTGGTTACCCTGCGAGAAACACAAGAAGAAGAAGAGTGTCACAACTAAAGCTGAAATTAAAGTTAAAGCACATTGTGTTTGAGTCAGATGAGCAGCATGAAAGGCAGGAGAACCCCCCCCCCCCCATCCCCCCAGAGACTGAGGAGAGTTGTCCTGCAAAGCATCTGAGTCAGAGGGAAACAGACATCATATCACGTCTCAGCTCACATTAGAGGAACCCTTGATCATTGCTAATGAACATAGTTTATGTTGTAGAGCATGGCTTCAAGTTGGAGGGCCGAGAGTCAGGGGGAATCTCAGGGCAAAGCACAAGAGGAAAGATCAATTAATTGATAAAATTTTGATTAGGGTCTTTGATTTCAGTGACAGGTCTGTTAAAGTAGCAGCTGCTCGCTTGTTCAGCTCCACTTTCAGACTTGCAGCAGCAACCAGAGCTGCGCCGCCACTCACCGCTCCTGCCCCCATTTCTCTCTCAGGTTTTGATTTCAATCTTCCTCACACGTCATTTTATGCTCCTTTTGGGTTTGAACATATGAGTTTTATTAATTTTATTACCCTTTATTTAAGCAGGCAAATCCCATTGAGATCACAGATCTTCTGCAAGGGAGGCCTGGGCCTGAAGGCAGCCCAACATGCATGGTTTTGGTCCGTGGGGGGAAACCACAGTACCCGGAGAAAACCCACGCAAGCACAAGAAGAACACGCAAACTCCACACAGAAAGACCCCAGGTCCAACCGGGGATTGAACCCAGGACCTTCTTGCTGTGAGGCAACAGTGCTAACCACTGATCCGTCGTGCTGCAAAGTTATCTGTAGACCAAAAAAAAAAAAAGATTGCAACAGAGTGACGCATATTTACTTTTTTAAAGCAGATCTTATTGGAGATGCAATTCAGTCCCCTCTTCTAAAAATAAAAGTTGAAATCTTTCTCTTTCAGCTTCAGCAATATGCTGCCAGAACTCCCAGTATGTGGTATCTGCACCCTGCATTTCCCTCTCTGCTCCTGACTTAAGTGATAGATGGGCCCTTGTACTGAAGCGGTTTCACAAACCTTTTGTCTCGTGTGGATGCTTGGGATGATGAGCTGCAGAAATAATGGACTTTTCTAGCTGGTGCACATTGTTAAACTCGGTAATGGCTGGACTACAGAAGTGCATGTCTTATTGTTGCGAAGCACTAGTCTCTGTGAATCCGACCTAATGAGCAGAACAGTGAGATCAGTGCTGCTGGTGCGGGTATCCATCCCGGCATTAAAAACACAAAGAGAAAAGGTGAGACAATAACACTGCAATCCAATAACACCCCCTGCAAATACCCTCAATCAAATTTAAAGATACAGATCATGCGAGCGCGACGCATAACTCTTTCGATAAGAGAGGAGGAGGAGGAAAGAAAGCACAATCGCAGCCAGAAGTAGGAGTTTATGAGTGGGGAAAAACAATAACAGTAAACATATAGAGAAGTTTCTGTCTCCTCCTTTACAAGCTGGCTGGGGATGGTGAGATAGTAGATAAATGTGTTTTATTCCTTTCTTCTTTATTTTGCTGCAGTGGTGTTTGGCCTGCGCCTGCAGATTTCCACAGAAAGCTCGATCTGGGCAGGAGGTTTTTAATGAGAGGAAGCCGAGCAGCACTATGCTGTAAATGTAGTGGAAATAATTTCACTCTGACGTGTTGGCAAACAAACCTCAGCCTAAACAGCACACTGCCAATTAACGAAATGCTCCATTATCTAAATGAAAAAAATGGAGAGAGGAGCCTTGAGAGCGGGGAGGGACTGACCGGCGTCCTGCAGGAGAACCGGACCCTCACTCCTGCCCCACCTACCCTACCCCTTCTAGTTTTATTATACTGTATTTCTATCTCCTGTGTCTCTCTCAATTCTCCTCCCACTTCTCCCTATTATGCTTTTCTTTTCCTCCCTACGCTCTTTTTTTATGTAGAAACTTTTTTAATCTCTACCCCTGTGCTCCACTTTTCCTCTCCCTCCAGTCATGGCATTATATAACACGCAGCGCAGGGCATCCTAATTCAAGAAAGCTCTTGATGTTGGCAAATTTCAACTTCTAAGCACTCATTTTAAAAGGAGAAGTGTGTTTGTTACCTAAAAAAAATAAAAATAAAAGGGGACGCACCTTCCTAGTACGGGATCTCAGAATACCACTGGATCCTGTAATTCGTCCACACACCAACTGTCCGGTGAAGTTAGAGAGCTCAGCAGTCCAGGAAACAGGAAGTGGGCTGCGTTTGTACTTCAAATAGTCTTTATGACATTTAAGACATCAAAGCTTCAGTACATCTTTCATTGGTCGACACACCTGCCTGTAAACTCTGTTTGTAAGTTTCCAGAGAGAAAAGTTTGTCCACTGATGCTAAGGTTGCAAAGTATCCGAATAGATCCAGTCCATGGTCCACACTACATGATACAATTAGCTTAAACACTTCATTTTCCAAAAAAAAAAAAAGTTTAGCTTTAGTAGATGTCTGGATAAAATCTGGCCTTTCCAAAGGGTTTCCACTTATAGGAAAGTTTAAAGTATAACATATTCTTCACATTTTTGGATGTCTTGTTACTGTAGTTGGAAATCTTGGGTGTTTTTCATGGATACGGTTGCATCTTAGCCTGTCTCATTAGTCTTAAAATTAAATTGGCATATTGATGCAATGAGCAGAGTCATTCATCGTTTAGTGACAAAAAAAGCTTTTGCAACAATGAATTGCTTCGCCATCCCACAACGCCCTGCTGCAGCAGAGAAATTATACGGAAACAGACGTTACCCGTGCATGATTTTCATGGAGTGAACAGTCTGTGATGTGTATGTTATGATAAAGCCAGAGCAGTGGAAGCATCGTCTTCATCTTTTCGTCGATGCTACTCTGGGGCTGCTAGGCAAACAGGTGAGCTCTACTATCAGCTGATCAATAAAGCAAGAAAAATAATGATCTACATGTTGAAAACAAAATGAAATTTAAGAAATATGGTTGTTCTTGTCTTCCATTATTAACAATTAGATGCCAGTCGAGGAGTGCAGTGCATGAATGAGTGTCCAGGCAAAGAGAAACCAAATTATTTGTGACTTAAACTATTTAGATTGTAATAAAAGTGACAGAGCTACTGAGATGTGGTGCTACATGATGTTATACAAGACCTAAAAGTGCATGTGAACAAACTCGGTGTGCTTTTGTTGCTTCCTGCAGTCATATTTTGTTTTCAGGAAATCCCTTTGGTCCTGAAATGAAACGTATCTCCTTAAGAAGTCAGTATTTTTTTAGCGTTTTAGTTTTTTCTTCTTTCATCGTACGAAAGCTCCTAGCTTTGCTTTCTTGTTTATCATTTCCTCAGTTATTTATTCAACTCTTCTTAAGTTTAGACAATTCTGTGATGTAGTTTTTATTCTGCATCCGGTCTCAGTTTTGCCTATGACATGATTTGGACTTGTTAAATAATCAGATGCCTTCAAGTGTCTGTTGGTCAGAACCTGACTCATTATAATAACTGGGCATACTGGTTTGTGTTCCTGTGAAAGGCCAGTGGCTATTTGAACGTTAAATGAGTGCAAAGGCCTGAGGCCAGTCCAAGTGACATACAACAAGCATCAATGCCTGCAGCTTGGTATTGAAGGAAACTACTAAAGTGCTGTAGCACTATGTTGTTGCTGTTTCAAAGGGCAGCAAGGCAAAAGCAAGTAGGCGGAGAGTACAGGCCTCATTAGTGAAACACAAAGTAACACTGGCTCTCGTATGATCTTCGCCTTCCTCTGATGTATGTGACAAAGAGTTATTCGACTGGAAATGAACTGGGAGAAGAAGAAAAAAGCCCATGCAAATCAGACGAGCGGCCTTGTCCCATTGCGACCACACGCCCTTTTCCCTGGGCCGAGGCTCGGCAAACATCCTCGGTGCCTAATGAAGCGCCCTCTGACAAACCGGTCAGGTATGCTTCACATCTCATTCCACTGAAGAGACTGTTGTTCATCACGGCTGCGAATGAGCACTGCAAGTCGTCTTTATATCGGCAGTGTTTTTCTACCTGCAGAGCTGTTTATGAGTAAAGAGCAGGTCCCTTTGCGACACTTTAATGCCACCCCCCCAACATGGTCTGCAGCCACGAGCCGCCTAAATCTCAATCTTATGGGAACGTTGACGAAGAGTAAAGGGAACCGGAGAAAGCAGCTCTTATCGATCTCCCATCTTTTCTATTCCTCTTTCCTTCCTTCCTTCAATCTCTCCCTTCACTCCTCCTATTACTGAAGAGCACAATAAAAACACTATCTTTAATCTTAAGCACTCTCCCTGTGTAAAATTGGATTGGAAACCCTTACTTAAGGAGATCACTTCTGGAGTGGAGTTTTTGTTTTTGCAGCATGCATCAAGAGCCAGGGAGGTCAGGGAGTCTTGGTTGCAATGCCCACAGCTGAGGGTGCCAGTCTCTGCGAGACTCAAAACACTTTCTCTGATCTTAACCCTATTGTAGATGGTCAAGGCTCTTTTCCATCTCAGCAGGTATAACATCTTGGCCTTTTGCCAGCAATCTGTGATCCTCTTTAGCAGAACGGGAAGAAGTGGGAGGGGGAAGGGCGCACAAATGCAGGAGCTGTTAAAAAGAATTCATAAGAGCAGAGTGCTGCACTGACTCAAATGTGCAACGGTGGGTCAAAGAGCAATGCAAAGGCAAAATACGGCAGGCGACTAATTGCGTTGCATGGAATCCAGAGGGAAATCACTCAAAGGGGAGCAGGCTGATCAATCTCAACGATAGGAGCCATGATGGAGTGGGCAGCTTTATAGCTTCAGCGCGCTCACAAGCAGGTTGGATCATTTTTCAGCAAAGGCCTTTCTGCCTTACGTGCTTTCTGCTGTACGGCACTAAACATACATTAAGCAGCTCTGCAGCGTTTGTGCATAATCCACTCATGCAGAGTCGCTGTCACATCCATTCATGGAAAACACACACAGGCAACTTCCTTTGTCAAATTACAGATGACACAACATTTTCTTAAGTGAACCTTA